CCCCCCCCCCCCAGCACACCTTGGCCCACATGGGAGGAATGTCCTGTTTAGATTTCAGGTGGGGTTAGGGAATCCCAATTTCAGGGCCTTACTGATTTATGCTACTGGAAATACAGATCAGTGTAGAAAACTGGAACTACAAAGTAATGAAACACATTCACTCAGAAGATTGTCCATCTCACTACCCTCTCAGCAGGACTTCTGTTGTGACAAAAGAGCTCGTCAGAGAGGTTTGGGTGTCTGCAGCACCTAGGTTCATGCACATACATGTGCATGTTTTCTTTCATTACTTTGCCCTCTTCCTCTCATTGATCATATTGAATCAGGCAGGAGGGAAAGGACAGAAGCAGCTGAGGGGAAAAAAGGAAAAGGGTGAAGGCAACAAATGAGGAGGAAGAAGAAAAGATGTTGAAGGGAAGGCCAGTGCTAGGAGAGGCCAGGAAGGCCAAGGCTAGGGTCAGGCTTTAACAGAAGTTTCCTTGTACAGTCCTGGGGAGACAAAAGGACATGCTGACTATTGGACGTGTCTCGGGGGAATTCGGCCTAGCTTTCGGGAACAGAATGCAAGAGAGGAGGGGGTCAGATGCAACTTGGCAGCATCTGTCCTTCAGTAGGGACTATATTTAGATAGCGGTATGTGGGGGTTGAACACACGCTGGGATGCTAAGAATAGAGTAATCCTGATAGTAACTCAGTGGCTTCACATCTTGCCTGAGTACAGCCCAGGGAACCTGTCTCAAAACTTTGCTACCACCCTCCATGCTGGCCAGCACCGCTTCTTTATAAGAAAGGAAATAATGCTGTGGGTAATCAAAGTGGTTTGCAGTGCCTTTCAGAAATAAGCTGTAAAAGGTTCATGCCATCCTCCCCCTTGCCTCCTCAAGGCACCTCCCTCCTCCTTTCATTGGGAGAGCTCAATCTGTAAAGTAGGAAAACAAATGACATTATCGGTCTTCCCTTAATCTCCTAAAATCTTTCCAGCAGCAACCTAGCAAACTCAGGGCAAGTCAGAGTTGTATAATGAATACAATTCATCTTCCCATCCACTGCCCCTTCCACTCTCTGATTGCATCTCTCATCACACAGCTGCCCCCCTTCCCTCAGCAGCTACAATGCCATGGGGTCCAACACTCCATGGCAACCTGGCAGTGTTTAAATTTCATTCCCAGACTTATGTGAAATGTAGTCCTGTCACAGAGTTCCTATGCAGAGGTAAGAACTGCCTTGTTCTAGTATAAAGCAGTATAAAGCATTACCAAAAGGGAACGAGTTCAGGGAGGAGCCAACCAGCACTTGGGTCTGCTCCTCCCAGAACTTCCTGCTCAGCTGAACCACAAATGCAGTAGTTGCTAGATGCAAGAGCAGACACAAACACCCTCCATCTCTTCTTCTTTCTGAACATCTGTGTTGACATCATTTTGGTTACTGGAACAGGTTTTTTTTTCCTCCAAGGCCAGGGCCTAATCTTTACTTGTGCAAGGAAGGATACCCCTATGGCTAAAGCACTAGAGTGGGATTCAGGAGACCTGGACGATTTTTCATGTGACCTTGGAGAAAACACTCAGAGTGTGAGCCATAAATGACAGGAGCCTGGAAATCAGGAAGTTTGTCAACAGTCTTTTGCTCTGGCTCTTAGATTTTCTTTGTCTCATCTGCCCACCTGAACACAGAGATCCAGTAAGATACTTTTTCTATGCTTTGTCTATTAAGTGTGTGAATACATCACATCTTCATGGCAATGCCATATTTTTATTGGAAGCTATTTTACAGGGCAATATTTACTGTAGTCCATTATAATTACACTAACTATTAATATTACACTTCTCTACTTAGTTCTAATAGCTTCCTGACCAAACACCGTATTCCTGTTTAAGAGGTGACACTGGATGACTTGCCTCTTGGTAAAGTAGGTCCAGTGTCTCTGCAGACCTGCTTCACAGGTCATCCACAGTGGAGCTTAATTAGGGTGTCGTTAATATAGAGAAAGAAGGGAGAGAACACACATTTACTTAGATG